CTTCAATATTTTAGTTGCCTCTAAGTTGCACATGTTCTTGTAAGCAAGCCTTCATTCACCTCCTGTAAGTTACCTCGATTAAACTTGTTTTATTAGTTAGATTGAAGTGGAATTCCTTGTTTTGCAAGTGGTGCCTGTGTAGGGTACTCTCTCCTTGGAAATAGTTCATATAACCTGTAAACTTCATGGCATGGCAAGTGTAAAGATCTTTGTACATCTGAACATGTTTATGCTTCTACTGAGCATGTAGTTTTACCTATGAGATTCATTATCTATACATTAAGAAGTGTTGGAATTAGTGTTATTTAGGTAAATTTCATCTTAGTTTTAATCTGGTGTATTGTTTTCTCTAGTGATTAGGTGTGGAACATAAATTTTAAGATCCTGTTAGAACAAAAGATGAGTATATAACTTCTCTAATTTTTCCTCCATTTGTCTGGAGTTTCAGAACCCATGTTACATCACAAAACTCTCTCACTCCACTTTGTACTTGACAGCTAAACATCTGAGAATTGTCAAGTTAGCTATTAACACGGACATTCATTATTTTAGATTTTCTTGGATCAAATCCCAAGACACTGAATGAGGATATGATCATGCATGATACAAAAGGAGTGTGTGTGTGTGTGTGTGTGTGTGTGTGTGTGTGTGTGTGTGTGTGTGTAAGGTTTTGATTTCTTATAGTTAATGTATCTACATACCAGTTTTTGCTTATTTATAACTCCGGACAGATTTAGTTAATAATTTTACATCAAAATCGAAGTCTTAATTGCACAGAATTGCATTGTGCCTTAGAATCTGTATAACTTTGTACATGGAGCTCTTATTTGGTATGAAATGTATAATAATTTTCTGTTTTAATCTCCTATATTTCTATACATAATACATACAAGTAATTTCATGTTAGCAAATATTGTATGAATAAGTTATATAACCAAAAGCAGAGATTGAGAGCTACTATTATACTAAAAATAAGTATATTTGTACATTTTTATAGATAATTCACATTACTGTGTGAGGTGATCTCCTCCCACATGGAGAATTCTCAAACAAAAGTTTTAACTTATTATGATATAGAAGGAAATAAGACATTAGAGGAATTTTGAATAAGAAATAATTCCCTGAATGTTAAAAATAGACAAATGAAACATCACAGACACTAAAATTTAAACAATATTTTTATTGGAAATATTCTTTTCTCAGACACAACATTGTAACCACAGTTTCCTCTCCATCTACTCCTCCCAGCTCTCCCTCCAGCAAATTCCCTGCTCCCCCAGAACCACTATCCCTTTCCTCTCCAAAAAAAGAGAAGGCCTCAAAGAGAGGACAGCCAAACAGCACAAATACAACAAGGCCAAGCAAAAGCCCTCATATGGAGGCTGGGCAAGGCAACCAAATAGGAGGAAAAGAATCCCAGGAGCAAGCGAAAGAGTCAGCGACACATCGGCTCCTGCTGCTAGGAGTCCCACAAAAATACCAAGCTAACAGCAAGGGACCTGGTGCAGACCCATGGGGGCCAGTGCTCACCAATTTTGTCTCTGAGCCTATATGAGCTCTGCTGAGTTGATTCAGTGGTCTGTGTTCTCATGGTGTCCTCCATCCTTTCCTCTGACTCCTAATAGTCTGCCCTTTCTCTCTTCTGCCTAGTTTTGATCTCTGAGGGGAGGGACTCTATGGAGTCTCTATGGAGACATTGGACACCTCCTCTTTAGACTCTTTGCATAATGTCTCTGTCTGGCTGTAGTTCTTTTCACTTCCTCCCATATGCTGCAGAAGGAAGCCTCTCTGATGATGACTGGATAAGGCTGATCTATGAGTATACTAGAATATCATTAGGAATCATTTCTTTGCCCTTCCTTCCTTCTTTCCTTCCTTCCTCCCTCCCTCCCTCCGAGTTCTGCTTTTTTTCTACCCTAGGGCTCTTCGCTATCTAATGTCCAGTTCCTGCCATCCAGGCACAGTAGGGTATGGTCTCTCTCTCTTGGTGAGGGCCACAAGTTAAAACAAACATTGGTCTGTGCCAACATTGTCCCAGCACATCTTGAAGGCAAGACAGATTGTAGGTCAAGGGTTTTGTGGCTGGAATTTTATCCAGGTTTCTTTTGTCATAGCCCACAGTTTCTCTTCTCATGCCAAAGAGACTAGAAGGTATGGGTGAAGGGTCCATGTTGGCACTATCTAGACCAATCTACATTGAATGCGCTGTGCAATGTTGTCCTCAGCAAAAAGAGGCTGCTGTCAGTTTTCAGACAACCACTTTCTGTCCTAGCATCAGGCTGGGTTGTTTAGGGATTTTCATGGGACCCTGTGGACCAACAACCCAACTGAATGCAACCAAATCCCACCACTGGAAGCCTTGTCTGGCTACAAAGGATTTCCAGCTCAAACTCCATACCTTCCTAGGAGTTCTCACTAGTGTCACCTGGTAGATTCCAAGAAGTCTCTGCTGCACTAGGTTTCCACACATACCCCACCACCTGCAAAATGCTCCACAATTCTATCCATCTCTCCTAGCAATCTTTCCCTTCACCCCTCCCACACACAGCTGATCCTTCCCACTAAAGTCACTACCCACCCCACAGTCCAACAGCAAAATTTATTCTATTTCCTTCTCCCAGGGAAGTTCATAAATCTCCAGCTCCAACTAGAGCCCTCCTCTTTACCTAACCTTTGTTGGTCTTTGGATAGTATAGCTTGATTATCATTTACCTAATAACTAATATTGACTTATAAGTGAGTACATACCATATTTATCTTCTGAATATGAGCTATTATCTAAAGTATGGATATTATTTGCCAACAATTATGACCTGTTTATCATTGGAAATTAAATTAAATGGATTAATTATAAAACTTAATTTAAATAAATATTTTATTGTTTGGCATATATTCAATATCTGAACTCTTCCCAAATGTGCCAGCTGCCCTTTATTGACTAGTTTTAATGCTTAAAATCAAAGAGTAAAGAAAACTGTAGTAACATTCCAGAAACTATTCACATATCCAATAAGAGTTATCCTTTCTGTCAGCATTGCTACTTTCCTTTGTGCCATTTTATTTAACTCACAGCCATTTCGAAAACTCTGTAATAATTGTAAATAATCGTTTTCTGTGTTTTTAAAAGATGTGTGTATTTGTCTCTAAATATGGCTTAGAAATGTATTATTTTGCAGAAAATGACCCTTTCTTAATGACTGCTGATAAATTGCCTTTTGTCAGTTTAATATTCTCTCACCTAGTATTTACTTAGTTTGTGTAAAATGAGAAAAGTTTCCTATCAGTCTTCATGAACCATATGATTTCAGGTCTTATTGCTTGTCAGCTAAAGTGGCAATAACAGAGTGGGTACCTCACTCCCCCATCCTGGGAGTTAGGCAGAGGGTGGCCAGAAATTGCCCTGGGAGTTCTGGTTCTGAGGTATATCCCTTTCTATGTTATTCTTGATACATTCATAGAATCAGACCTGCTCAGCAACTTTATTTATGTAGTTTAAGAAGATGAGGATACAGGGAACCATACACAGTCTCATTTAAATTGAGATTACAGTGTATTGTAACTCTTTTGGTGTACACAAAGGTAATGAATTGTTCACTCAGTTCTATATGATGCAATCAGAAAGAAGGCTCCTGGGTATGCCATCATCTTTCTTTGTCCTTAGTGCTAGTCATTGCTCATATTCTTTATAATTTTTGTTATAATTGGTCCTTGTTACTGTATTAATTTTAAATGTCATTAGGGGTAGCAAATTAAATGTTTATCTTAAGTGACAGTTCATCATTCATCAATGTATCTTGTATCTTGTAACTGCTCAAGACCCCTGAGAACAAGTTCTCAGCACAAAGGAGATTTATTTGCCCCAGAGAGATAAAGGGTGGGGAATAAGAGACAAAGATAGGAGATAGAAGATGGGGGAGGAGGGGAAAGAAACAAGGGAGAGGCGGAAGAAATATTCCCCCTATCTTCTATCTCCTATCTTTGTGTCCCAGAGAGCCACAAAGGACTGTTTCTGGATAGAGAAGACAAAGGACATTTCCCATAGGAAAATAGCAGTTTAATAAAGTAAAAGGGGAAAGCCCATGTTAGGATGAGGTGTTTAATGTTAATTGGCCATGTTTAATTAGGTGAGCCGAAGGAGGCTTTTGCTAGCTGGACCTTGGTAGTCAGCCTCAGGAGGAGGAAGTGGCCAAATAAGGGAAGAGATCTTGGTGGCTAGCTTTAGGAATGTAACTGTTTTTAGAAAGACAAAAGGGATGGGGGAGAAGGGCAAGGCCTACCAGAGCCATGTGTGCCATGCTCGGGCCGGCCAGAGTCCCTCCAATCAATAGGTATGCTACTAAACATTCTAAAATCATTTTCTTAAGAAATGTTACATTGTTTTCACATATTGAGAAATCTGGCCTCAGATGCATTGCTTTAATAAGTATGTGCATGAATTGATACTATGTATAGAATAAAGTAAGCTTGGTGTTAACACATGGTTGATAAACCAAAGGAAATAACCTAGTTGTCATTTTCTTTTGTTCTGCGCCTTTTTCCATATTAATAGCTTTCATGAATGACTTTAATAATAGATTGTGTTTCAGAAGACAGATATCTATAAAATCCTTTGAGATACTGAAGTTGATGCACGGAAGTATTGATTCTGGAGCTCTTTACAATAATTTCTGATCAATTATCTGCCTCACCTAGAGCACTTATGCTAACAGATATTTTAATGAAACATCAGAGTCAATTATACAAAATATGACAGACATATGGTAAAATGAAACTCAGAATCATTAAATTAAAGAGAGAAGAAAACTGTGCTCTAGTTGCTCAGAGACACTCTCAGCCCAGGCATTGATATACCTGACTATAGATTGTATAAAAATAGTTTATATGAAATTTTCATGGGTACATAGAAAGGTGAAGGCATTCTTTTCTTATGATTAATTTTAAGAAAGTACTTGTAAATAATGGAGAAAGTTTTTATATTGCTCTTTCTCTTCTTCAAATAGGTTATGTGGGTATGCAATTTATGTCGAAAGCAACAAGAAATCTTAACCAAATCTGGAGCATGGTTCTTTGGAAGTGGCCCTCAGCAGCCCAGTCAGGATGGGACTCTGAGTGACACAGCTACAGGTGCTGGATCTGAGGTGCCAAGAGAAAAGAAAGCACGACTCCAAGAGCGATCGAGGTCTCAGACACCCTTGAGTACAGCCGCTGCCTCTTCCCAAGACACTGCTTCCCCTGGTGCAGCACTGGACAGAAACAAAGGGGTTGAGCCTTCACAGCAAGCCGTGGGACCTGAACAGAAGCAGGCATCAAGGTCTATAAGCGAGCCACCAAGGGAAAGGTAATAATTCATTAACACTGTAAGCAAAAGTCAAGGGCTTACTTGAAAGCACACCTGGCCAGGCATTGGTGGCGCATGCCTTTAATTCCAGCACTCAGGAGGCAGAGGCAGGTATAGCTCTGTGAGTTCGAGACCAGCCTGGTCTCCAGAGCGAGTGCCAGGATAGGCTCCAAAGCTACACAGAAAAACCTTGTCTCGAAAAACAAAACAAACAAACAAACAAACGAAAGCACACCTGCTATCGAGACCCCAGCATCTATTAGAAGGGGTGTGTGGAAGGATTACTTCTTAGGCCCCATATTCAAGGCAGCAACAGGCCTGAGATTTTTGTCTGCCTCTAGAATATGTCATTCCATAAGAGACCTGTGTTGAAAAACTTGATTTTTCACAACTAGCATGGATGCCAGTAAAAGTTATGTCAGTCATTTGAGTTACAAACTTCCAACTTTGAGAAAATCCCTTAGAAACACTATTTAGGTTTAGCACTTGAGTGAAAACTGTGCTCTTAAAGCATAAGATGCAGAACTCGACCTATTGAAAGGCATGATGGGACATCAGAGATTGCTCCTTTGAGTACATTTCTTTTAAGCTGCCACATAAAAGTAGTGAGAAATTTATCAAGGGAAGTGAAGGATGATGCTGTGAGTATTTTGTAGGCATGTTGCCTGAAGGAAAGACTTCTGTTTGTGGTCTTTCCAAAGGGTAACATTAGCTAGAGTACAAGTAGTCAAGGATGAGTAGAGGAGAGAGAACTGGCAAGATAGTAAGCGAAGATAGATGTTTATCCCAAGCATAATGGGAAGCCACCAAAGATGGAAGCAAGGGATGCAATGATCAGATAGTGCACATCAAATGTTTCACTCATACGTTCATTTTTCTGAATTGATGCTGTCCACTAGAAAACAGATGCCAGGGCTCCTGGTGTGTGGAGCCCTGACCGGTGGGACTGGACTAGGCTTGATTGCTTCTGTTCCTGTAACTCTTATTTATTCTACTAAGTAAGGAATAGTCTCCACCCAAGGAAGTGTTGTAACCTCATTTTCAAACAAAATTTACACAAGATCAATGGCTTCAAAGTAAAGCATGTCTAGATTACAGAACTGATTCTGGCATAATAGGCAGTGATAACACACTTTGCAGGTGTGTGCCAACTATTAAAGGAGAACACAAGGTCCCAGGCCGACATGTGGTGCCTCCCTAACTGAATATGGCTGTGATTTCAGCCAGCCCTCATCAAACAATCATTATAATTAAACTCAGTGCCGGGAACCAGAGGGTGCAGAGATGAAGAGGACATATCCCCTTTCTCACACTATGGGGAAACCATATCCCAGGGAAGACAGACACCTAGTCAGGATGTTGATCAGTTGATCAATGCTAGGAAATAGAGCACTTTGGGAGCTCTAAAAACAAAAGAAATGGCTTTTGAATTAAGCCTTATAAGTTCTCCAGATGTAAGAGGGAAATAGACATAGCAGGAGAAAATGTGCATGAATAGATTTCTTGAAAAAAAGGTAGAAAGGACATCAGAAGTATTGTAGTGACAACATAATGAAACTCACTTGATGGCAAAATGCATTTTGTTATGAAACACAAATATTAAAGATGCATTTAGGGCTGGTCAGAAAATGGTATCTTTAAATATGACCAAGATGCGTAGAAATGTCAAGTTGGTAAACAAAAAAGAATCAAGCTTGGCTTATGATGAAAACCTACATAAAATCCCAAGGAGTACAGAGGTAAGTTGACACATGAAACACAGCAAGAGCACTGATAAGAGCAGGGTTCTATAAACAGATAATGGAGACTTGGGTGTATAAGCAGAAGAGGGCCTGGTGACAGTTTGGACTTGGGCAACCTTGGAGAAGCAAGACTGAAAGGATGACTAGTTGCTTTTAATTATTGAAAAAATTTCTTGACCATATTTTGAGCATTAATCAGGAGCTAGTGGAAACAGAACAATTAAAGTTAGTAATAAGAAGAAGTATCATTAGTTGGGCCCAGAAAAAGCAGACTGGAGACTCCTACTTTTTGCATAATCCTCAACTTCCCTTAAAGCATCTTCACTGATGGCGCTGATGGGTCTCCGGTAATGATCTTATGAACTCTGCATGGCAGTCAACCATTTAGCATCTCCGGAAGAGAAAACTGTTTTGACCTAAACTTCTAGCAAGTGCAAGTAAGCATTAGAAACCAATGACATATTTGCATAGAATACAGTCATGGCATCTTTGAAAATTGTAGTTTCTAACTACTAATATGTGGTGGTGTTAGACTCCTATTGCAAAATTGCAAACCCACACTCTAAGAGCTACTTTCAGGCCCTTGCCCTTTTCCTTTTGCCACCTTAATATAAATACCTCAAGTAGAACTCACCACACTTCCTTTTTACTCCTTGCCACTGGTTCCCCTTCTGTCCTCAATAATCTCTCTCCCTCACCCACCCCACGATGTGTTTTAGCAACTGCACTTTGGGAATCCACAGCAGAAATGACTAACTTCCCATTGATTTTTTACATATTCATACATATATGTGCAGACATGCTTAAGCTTGAGAGTGCCTCGGGGGCACATGCATATGCACCCCTACCCACACACTTGAACTTGTGTGCAAATAAATGCTGCTGCCCCTGAATCAGACTCCCCAAGCTCCTTTTAATTGCAAAGCAAGCCTGGGTTATCTCCACTTTAACTGCACATTCAGAATTAGTTCAGAAGACCTTAGCCAAGAAAAAAAAAAAAAATGTCTCCCAGCAACTTCTGGCGTAACATCAGGGACATCCCTGGCCAGGTTCTTCCTATGGAGAAATACTGAAGGGGACAACTGAAGAATACCTTTACAGGATTCAAAGACCTGCCAAAACCTTTCCTTTAATTTTATCTTTGCCTGAAAACAAAACAACAACAAAAATAAACCCACCTTATAAAGAAAAAAATATCAAAAAATAAAAAACCTCAAAACCTAATTTCTGATTTGGGGCTCTATTTTGAAAAACGGAGGGATGAAGGAAGAGAGAACGAGCAGCACTTTTAAACATAGCAGTATGTCTGAGCTGACAATGCTCATTGGTAGAGCATTGTCATGCACAGGGCCTTGGCTTTGAGTCCCAGTACTGTAAGAAACAAATAAATATCAATGTTTCTATGAATGGTGGCTGAGAAAGTTACAATATAAGCTATGGGTCAGCCACTGTTTTCTGATTAACGCGATAAAGAAAAGTCTTGGGTGTCCACAATAAAGTCAAAATGAATTTACTCTGTTATCATGGTGTTACTCAATTTTATTTCTAAAATAAGCACATTCGTAATTATAAAAGTTTCATTGTTAGTGAAGAATTGTAAGCATGCACTGTTCATATATACATGTGTGGAATACACATTTGATCTTGAGTGACGTATGCTTATCTTTAGATGTTAAGTTGTTATTGTCAATATTTGAAAAAAATAGGTTACAAGGGAATGTAAGCATAAAATGTGCCTATTGAATCAGGACTAGTGATTTTTTTATTTAAATGCAAACTTTAAAAGGTGAAAGTAAGCTATTGATCCTATTGTAAAGCAAAGGGTTCACATTTAAAGCTTAATCGGTATATAAGTTTAACTCAGTTCTTAACTTCAAATTTTAATTAGACACGGGATTCTAACTAATCATGTGAAATAATAAGATTTAGGCCTGAATGCTCAGACAAGGACGTCACTTGGTGTGTTGTTTAAATTCTATCAACTGTTCTTTGCACACCACAGGAAGAAGGCTCCAGGGCTTTCAGAGCAGAATGGCAAGGGAGGCCTGAAGAGCGAGCGCAAACGCGTGCCTAAGTCCGCGGTGCAGCCCGGGGAGGGGACCGCGGAAGAGCGGGAGCGGAAGGAAAGGCGGGAAACCCGCAGGCTGGAGAGAGGGCGCTCCCAGGACTACCCGGACCGGCCGGAGAAACGCGAGGATGGCAGGGCGGCGGAGGACGAGAAGCAGAGGAAAGAGGAGGAGTACCAGACCAGGTACCGCAG